CTTTCAATTTTTCAATCAATCCTTTTCGTGTTATTCGCGATTGTGGGAAAAACGTGGTTTTTTACGTGCTCATAGAAAAAAACCGATCACTCTCTCTCCACCAATTTTCAAGAATGTTAAAATTTTGAACCGTCACGTTTTCGCAACCTTTACGCTCTACAACTTTTGTTCCGAGAAAGTTTAACAAAAAGGGAAGCGACAATTGTCACTTTTTCTTATTTGACCTTTTGGGTTGCGGAATGCTTTTGCTGTCGATAAACACTTGTTTACCTCATAACGGAAGTTTAACTTTTCCTTCCCATTTCACAGGTGTTGTGGGAGTTTGGCTTCGAATAGCTTATTGAAACGATAGATTTATGTATGGTAAAATCGGGAGAGAGGGAGAGTGATCGGGTTTTTCCATGGGCACGTAAAAAAACCCACGTTTTTTGCCCAAAAATGGTAAATAACTCCGGAACGGTTCAGAAATCGTGCGAAGTGGAATGTAACGTACTGAAAGCTTATTAAAATTTCCTATCGATAGCTATAGGGCGCCGCTCCAGGACGATTTCCTGGCTCGACAGTTCTATTTGAAGTTTTCGTCAAAAGTGCAAAAATTTACATGTTCCCGAATTCACTGAAGAATGACTGAAGCTAGGGAAACATTAAAAAACCCATCTTTTTCAGAGTAAAATTGCCAAAAAATTGAGACCTAGCCGCAGGTCTGTGGCTTAAAAGGCTGAGCAAATATGCATTTCCAAAGTTTACCATTTTTTCGTGCAAAAACCAGGTGGTCAGTTTTATCTCATTTAGCGATTATCTTTCATTAATTAATCTGTATTATCAAATCCAATGCGACTACAGTTCATGATTTTAGAAAAATACCCGACAACAAATTATATGCCCATTTTGATAAAGTAAATTTTTCAAGATAGTGCTTATCAAGAAAATGAGGCTATCTTGAAGATACCTTAAATTTCCATCTTGTTTCTTTCTATTCATGATTTATCTCCATTACTATAAATAGGAGAGGGTCGTAATTCATGTTCGGTTTTGACAAAGGCCATCAACGTTTTCTAAAAGTTGTTTTGACAGACAAAATTCCCAGAAATGAAACTGTTAAGCGTCTTGCCTCAACTTGCTTAAGCCTCGTTCCACGGCGTGTGGGTCGACGTTACTACGTCGTACTCAACTTGTGATCTGTCGCGGTCTGTCGTATTCCGAACAGTAGCCATTTACGGAAAGACTCGAGGCTTGGTGAATTTCGAGTGGCCCTAGTGACACTGTCTAAATTTTTTTTAATGAAGTCAGTTATGATTTAAAAATCAACGCTAGTACAGTGTTCTGCTGTGATTTATAGATGTTAAGAATGAATGATTTTAGTTCAGAATAAATTAACATGCGACGAACCCCAGGCCTTTGATGTTTACCGTCAAAATACGGAAAAGGCCAAGCCACCTATCTTGAGCAATAGCTAGTCTTTACGTTTCCAGGGCGTGAGGTATGACAAACTATTGACCAAGTTCGCCAAGCCACACACCATGGGAGCAAGGCTGATGTCGCTCCATCTGACAATCGACTGTTCTGCTCGATGATGCGTTTTTTGAAAACATTGACTTGAAACATTAATAGTCTTTTCAAGAGTAAAATTATTTCTTTGTAATATTATTTGAATAAAATATTGCTTTCAGTTTCTATTCAGATAATCTTGATGTGATTTTTATGAATTCCATGTTCTATCTTGGTAAGATAAATAAATCGTAGCATAGTGAAATAATCCATACGTCAAATATGATAAAATCAAAGGATATTTTCTGAGCTGATGCCCAAAAGGAATTTTAGATTATTTAGAAATTGAAAATGAGACTTAAAAATTTTCTTTTGACTAGTATTCTTTAAGCAAAGGTAAATTGAATATTAAAATGTTAAATTAATTGTAGTAAAACGTCCCGAAGATCAGTTAGTAATGATTAATAATAAGATTAAAAACTTAAATTGTATTCGTCGAGCCTAATCAAAAAACAATCGTGTTCAGACCAACAAGGGGAGATAAATGAAATTTCATGTTCGTACAAAATAGGATTTGTACCACAAAGCCAGAAGGGACATTTCTATGTCAAATTGAGAAAATATTTAATCAAAATTGTCTGAATGTTTTTTATAATTTCTCCCCACTACTGGATTGGCGATAGTCAAAATGATCAAATTTTTACAAATATACTTTATTTTCTTAAATATTTCTCTTATTAACGTTTGGTCAGCTGTATAAGCAAGTGGTTCCTTTCAGCTAACAAGCTGGCGTAAAACAGACATGTGCAATAAAGAATTCATGGCTGATTGAAACTTTGTTTATACTTATTTCTTTTTGTATTTTTATAGTGAATTCGATTTTTTCTTTCATTTTAAAAACACAATAGTTGGATATTAAACCAATATAATAAAGAAGAACGAGTATCTTAGAAGGGACAAGAAGAGAACATTTTTTGAGTGTTTTCAAGCAAGAACTCGTCGAGGTATGTACCAAAACCTTCACGTTGACTCCACTGAATCTCGAATGGGTTACAGAAATAAACTTTGATACAACTGAAATTTTGATTGAACAAAAACGGATTTCATTTGGGAGAGTTCGGCGTCTTCATTAGATTAACGAAGGTGAAGTGAGGAAAGCTTTTGCGAGTCGAAAGTTCTCCTCAAGTGTCCTGTTCCACTCTTATCTTCGAAATGAATTAATTAGAAAACGGTTCGTGAGTTTAAAGGGGAGATCCTCTTTCAATTATTTTGGTCTTTGGTAGCCTGCTTCTTATGTACTCCCTCTCTCACACCCCTCCCTTCTCACTTCCGCCAGAGGGCGGGCATAAAAGAGAGCTGAGATTTATATTTTCAAAGAGCCACGGGTAGACTGCTACCTAAGAGGATTAGGCGAGGCGAATTGGGAAGTGAGGACTTCATAAGACTGATCAGTTTGTCTTTGGTAGCTTTGCACCCCCGCACCTCTTCTTTCTATTAGGAACCATCTGTGTTTTCCCATCATTTTCTTTGAAGAAGGTTTAAGTATTTCCGTCTAACTGCTACGAAGTCAAAGAAACGTGCTCAACGATTGTTCGACATATTTCAAACAGCCATTTCTTTCCATTGTCCCCCAAATAAGAGAATCAATTTATTTATTTAGTTTATAAGAACATGTTTCGATTCGAAAAGGTGACCTTTCGTTTGGCATAGTAAACGTTTAGAAAAACGTACGGCTCCTCACTGAAGACTGCCTGAAGCCGAATGGCGTCTGATTTCAACTTAAACCAGCGAATTGAAGAATCCAACAGTCATGACTATGGAGGTCAGTTCAGCATGACCAACACAACCAATCGTTTTTCTGTTAAATATCGTGTGAGATTGAATTTATTTAATAACGTCAATGTATAGTGAACATAGTACGCTTTTGTTTCTTTTCTTTTGTAGATACAGAAATCCGTTTATCCGGACTTGCAGGTACCAGGAATTGTCCGGATTATCGTAAATAAGGATAATCCGAAAATTTGTGATTTTATTAGTGTCGTGTCATAAAAACGGAAAAACACACATACGAAAATGAACACTTTTATTCGTATATTAATTAACATTTAAAGTATAGATAATTTTTATTAGTTTTATTTTTGTTTAAGTCCCGAACGCGTTTCTCGAAAAATTTATACGTAAAAAATACCTAATAAAAATATACGTAATAAAAAAAACCTTTTCAATGGAACCAAACATTCGAACAACACGAGATAACAATTTCTAGTCTTGTAAATAGCATACACCTTTTATTTATTTACTTTTAAATTTATTTATTTTTATAACAAAAACGAACCTCTCCGGCCTCTTCAATCGTGTGACAAGTGGAAGGGCGATTTGGTTGCCTTTACGAATTTCGAACGACGAATTAAATTCATAAATTATGAATTTTAAAAAATCAATATCAATACATTGAGAATTTATAATTTAGAAAATATAATTTAAAAAATTTATAAAAAATGTGTGACGTTTAGTGACCGTTAATTAATGATTATTTGGAGATGGTGAGACTATACCATTATACACTACAACACCAGACCGCATCTCAAGATCACCAAATAATTTATAAAAAATATTTTAACAAACGAGTCCGGATAATCCGGAAGTCCGCACCATCGGGGTCCGGATAAATGAGTTTCCACTGTATAATGAAGAGAAGTTTGATTTGAAATCACATATACTATTTTTATTTATTATAATTATATTAAATACAAAACTGTAAATTATTTATAAGGCCTAGGATTAACAAGGAAATCTAAAATATAGATTTTGGTAATAGGTTAAAGTTAATAAAAAGAACTACTGTTTATATTTGAGACTTGACTATTTTAAGAAATAGCTTCATAAGAAATGGGCAATCATTTATTACTTTTAAATGGGAATGCTGTTTATGTAATATTTTGTAGGAAAAAAATTGTCTGAAGAAAATACGTAATGGCCACACCAAGTCAGCAGAAAAGTATATTATTGTATCTCTACTAAACAGCTAGGATTGAAAACTGGTACCAGTGTTGCATTAATGAGGACATGTCTCACGTAATGCGAAGAAGGCGTCCAAATGGTCGAGATTTTTCCCTCTTATAAAATATGTGGTAGTTAAGAGGCAAGGGCTCGCCTCGTGACAAACATTCCACAGTTTCTCATCTAAGACACAACCCCCTACCCATTGGAACTGTTATGAGAAATTCCATGTTGTGTGACAAATAAGGAGAGCTTTTAATATTTAGTGGGCTTTTATTAAAAATAAACGTGGCCCGACATCCCGGTGGAACGACTGTTTGCGGCCCTGGACCCCTATGTGGAATATTAACAGGCATAAATCAGGAGGGGAGGTCAAAACAGTTATCCCTTCATACAGCCGGCACTTTTCTATCTCATAACCCGATCAAAGGTTCAACTTTGTTGCCCTTTACTACCTCGAAACACTTCGTGACAATCGAAATATAATGGATGAAGAAGAAAATTTGACTTACCATTTAACAGAAACGAGAGTAGACGGATTGGCCTCGTACTGACAGAAAATAAGAATGTCCGTTGTTTCGTTGACAGTTATGTTTTCAGGTGCTACAGTCACTATCGGAGGGTCTGAAAAACAAAACAAAAACAATCCATAAATTTAAACGTTAACAATATTTATAATCCAATTAATTATTTCTTTTATCTAAGGTTATTGGTTGAGATGAAAAATTAGTGTCGCGAGCTGGATTCGAACCTTCGACCTTCGGCTCAATACGCTGCTGGTCTATCCACTTGAATTATCGTGACGTGGTTAGAGCAGTGGCGTATTGAGCCGAAGGTCGTAAGTTCGAATCCCGCTTGTGACACTAATTTTTCAACTCAACCAAAAACCTTAAATAAAAAGAATAATTAATAGGTCAATTATGGCCACTAGAAAAATGGAATATTTATTGTATATTTTTTTATTATTGTCAATTATTTGGCACCGTTTTGGCCATCAACGTTTGGTCGTCTGCCAGAGTTCTACTTTGACACATTGAATGTACAATAATAGACAAATAAATGAAACAGCAGTAAATCTCATCCACTCTACTTAGGTAAACCCAAAATTCATTGTGGTTCAAGCTATCGTATAATTTTAAATATTTAATTAGATGTTTTTATATTCTTTCTATCGTATAAATTATTTGAAATAGTTTTAAAGTCCCATCAAGGGGATGTACTCCTCGAAAGAAGTGTGTGGTGATTAGTGACCGTTAATCGATATTTATTTAGAAATCGTGAGATGCGGTCTGGCGACCTCTCACGATTTCTAAATAAATAAACTCCTCGAAAGCTTAACGAAGGAACTGAATGTTTTTTCTACTTTTCAAATTGTCTTTATCCTTGAAATTTTTTATATAAAATTACGATTGACTATGAATCACATCAAGATATATTAATTATATGGAGGATATATGCTATTTTTTGGTAATAATTTTCTATAACTATATAATATAATTTTCACTCTTATTCGCTTATGTGTTTCTTACTGTAATTTATATTCATCTGACGACCGTTTATGAATATTATATCAATTATTTTTCTTAAACAGTAAATTAAAAAACATTGAAACTAAAGAAAAGCCCTAGGATTTTTGTATTTAAGCTTTCATTATGCTTAGCGGAATTGATAAGCTGGCATACATTATTATACATTCAGGTTTGGGGTGTATTTAATTGTAATTTTTGCTAGCGATTTTTTCTCCAGGCCTGTTTATTAAGAGGGAAAGCAATTCAAAAGTCATTTCACAGTTGATTTCCTCATCGGAAGTATCAATGACACTACCTGTCTACCCGGAAACGTTAGAACCCTGTCGGTACGTCAAATTACATCCCGCGGGAAAGTCCCCCGACCATTGGTATGTATTGGGTTGTCCGGAAAATAATGCAGGATTTTGGTATTAAACAAAAAAAAAGAAACTAGTTACTTTAAAGCAATGTTCTTTAATCAAAATAATTTCCCANTACAAATGAGTAATCCTGTAAACGTAAACAGAATATTTTATATAGATTTTTTTTAATGAAAACTTAAAATCCTGCATTATTTTCCGGACAACCCAATAAATAGGTGATTGTCCTCTGTCCCCATATATAGTACTCGGATGGAATAATTAACAGGGCTTTTTAATCGCGGTTCCCTTTCTCCCTACTTTTTCATCCCTTCGGGGATTCTGCCCACCTACCCTGTATATTATTCGGCCTATCCTTTTTTACCCCCTCCTCCCGATGTAAATGAAGCGGACTAAAGAACCCCTTTGTAACCCCTTAATAACACTGAAAGATTTATTAAAACTGCGATACTACATGTGATCGCTGTTGGTGTAATTTCAGTTGGAATGGAAGTATCATTTTCCTTGTAGGAAAAAACATCAATTTTATAATAAATGCATGTACAAAATTTTTTGTTTGGCAAGTAAATATTTACACTATTAGAATACTAGGATATACAAATATTTTAATATTTTATTAAATGCGTGTGATTAATTCTGTGGCAACAATTTTATCCACTCTTCTTAAAGAAAATTACACCGCCGAAGACCTTTTTTATACTGATTGAGGCAAAGCCAATTTTACCAGCGAAATCGACTAACGTAATGACATTTTGCAGCCATTTAGATAATTCGAAATTTTTTTTACCATCTACCGTGGAGAACGGGTGATTCTCATGAGCATTGATTTTACGTTATTTAGATGAATTTATAATGAAATATCGTCCATTTACAATTGGCATAAATAAATTTAGAAATTGAAAAAAAAATTTGAATAACAAATTTCATTTAAAAAATTATCAAGCCACAAACATAAATTATCCAATCTGCAGGTTGTACACAATACATGTACAGTTGTAGATATAAATAAATGAAGTAAAAAAATATTAGAAACAATTTTCTATATTTTTGTAATGCCAATTGTTAGGTTAGTTTAAAAAGTGTTGGTTCGTTTAACAAATTAAATCTATAAAATTGGTGACGTTTCGGATAATCGTGGCTCTCCCGTTTAGGCATAAATAACAAAAAAGAAAGAGAAGAAATTATAATGATAATAATGTAAGATCCACAGTTTTAACATTCTATTGGGGGCGTCGGTGGCCGCAACGGTTTCGGCGTTGACATTGGTAAAAGTGCCGGGTTCGAATCCAGCGGCCCTGCATCCGAATTCGACATTCAAATTGGAATTTTTTCAAAAATACCGGCACACCGATGGTTGATATCACCTCTGCTGTTGCGAACCCTCGTAAAAAAATTAACATTCTATTTTCTTCTATGGACACTAGAGAGACTTTTTATTTAAATGGACAGCTTTTTATACTTTTTTACTAATTTAAAAAGAAATAAAAATTATTCAAAATATAAAATAAATCTTAATAAATTGTAATTTACTCTTTCGTTTAGACTTCGTCTACGTCTAGCTGAAGAATAAGCTATTCAGGTAGTTTACTATGAGATGCCAAAAATCGTAGATATTAGACTGAAAATTAAATGATTTTTCTAACTCACTTCGTAGAGAAGATACGATTATAATTTTTTTACAAAAAAAAGCGGACTTTTCTTACAAAAAACTTCATTAACTATGCATTTTTCATCAAAATTGAGTTTTAAAATCTATTTTAAATTGTTTATAGAATAGGTTATTTATTAAACTATTTCCGCTGTTCATTTTTGTAAGATTTGTTTGTACGCTATAGATTATAATAATTGTAACATGCATACTATGCTGTTTTAAACATTTGCCTCCAGTATCTTCAAGTCAAGCCAAGTATTTATTGTATACTTCAATAACAATTAGGAGAAAAACTCTAAGTGTTTCTATGCTTGGTTTTGCTGCATTAAAGAGTATTACGACTAAGTTTGTAAAATGTGGAGGATTCTTTTGGTAATTAGCTACTACTGAAAATTGATCTTTTTTTCATTTTCCTGTATTTAAAAGTTTATATTATTAAGTGAATTTGACTTTTTGGGAAGAACGTACGCTTTTTTTATTCGATTTAGTGAAAAGGGGTCGCCAATATATTTCAATATCTCAATATGATAATGGCCGGTAAAATGGTGGGGGCAATTAACGTGAGGCCAGAACCAATTCGCAACCGGGCATGATAGATAACCACGGCCGACCCCTATATATCACACTTATTTACCACCAATTACTAACTCCATTATTCAAAGAACGCCAACTGTAATTCTCTGGATGGGAGCACGGTGGAGTGGGCACGACGAGGGTGGAAAAGGTAAGGGGAAAGGGAACAATTTTGTAATACACCTTGTAGAGGAGCCACTCTCCTCTATTGAGATTTATGAAATGACATGGCGCTTCGCTCGTTACTTTTTCTTAATTTCCTTTAAAAAAAAGAAGATAAAACGGTCAATTAAAGTTATAATAAAAATGTTAGATGACTATCGAAATAAGGCATATGTCGTTGACTTGATGTATGCATGAACTCTCTACCAGACAAAAAGCATTATATTTTTATTTTTTATAATTATTGTAAAGTATATTAAATTTAAAAATAAAATAACTTTAAATTTGCGACAAAAAGTATTTATTAATCAAAAGCTTGGCAAAGGGACTGGAGTGTTTTAGTTTTCAAATTTACCTACTAACTTTGAATACAAAATGAATATAATTGTATGTGAGGAAGAAAAAAAAATTTTGATAAGATATGTCTAAAACAAAAATAATGGGCATCTTCATCTTTATATGGAGCATAATGTCAAAAAGGAATTACCGACCATAGTCGTTACTACCATATACATACATACAAAATGTATCAAGCATGATCAATCGGGTATATTCAATTGGAGCATGCAAAAAGACACATTTCTGTCGGACAAATTTTGTCGAGATCATGAGAAATCCCTTGAGTTCTTAAGCGGTTTACACCCCTCTACAAAGTTTCTCTTTAATAGGACGAAACGGGGTAGATGAAGTTAGAGATTACTACAGATGGCGGTCATAGCAAAGATACGATCTTTTACAGATTGTTTCCAGTGTAGTCAACAGTGAAGCAATTTTTTTCTTAACTCGAACGAAGGCACACAATTTCAATCATTGAAGTTAATTTTAAAAAGAATGTTAATAAAAAACTATTATTTTTCCCGTTACTACCCGTAAAGAATTAACGTTTAGTGTAAATAATTAATTATTGATGTTTTTAACGTAGAAAATAATGCACACATCTGCCAGCGAATATAAAATGGAATATTAACTTATTTATTTTTAAAACATTCTTTTTAAATTTTTCAATTCTGCAATTTCTATTTCGAAGGAAGACAAAAAACTAGAGAAAATCTGAATTAGACTAGAATACACTAAAAAAATTAAAGTGAATGAGGCAATCCAATCAAAGAAAATGAAATGACGTGGTTTTTATCATGTTGCATCCAGTCTAGTGTACATGGTGAGGCATTAGTTCGGATTTCTACTTTGTCTCAATAATTATTTAGCATGCAGGCAGACACGCAAGTGACTCATAAAACACACACAAACGCCCAAAAATAACACTCCGGCCTAGAGGTCGTGCTGTACGTTTTTCACGGTGTTCCGGATATACATAACCGGCATAGCTCTCCGGCTCTCCGCAAATGTTTA